ACGTAGAACCCCTTGAAATTTAATTTAAGAAAGTGTTTTGAATGAAAATTTTCAATAAATAAGATTATCTACTGATATTGGAAACGTTTAATTGATTTTATCAATATTCAATGAATATTTTTTTTTTCTCAAAAATTTTCAAAATCGAATTGACAAAAAAAAAACGAAGGAAAATATCTTGTCAAAGATTTTTATTTTTATTAGTTAACTAATTAAAATAAATCTTTATTAATATAATATCAATGTAATTCTTGAAATATTTCGTTTAAAAAAAAAAATTTTTTTTTCTAAAAAGTTGAATAGAATTTTAGAAAACAAAAATTTTTTAATTTATCATTTAAATTAACTTTCATAATGAAAATAAATTATAGGAATTAATAGGATAAAAAGAAAAAAAAGCAGACGATGTTGTTGTTTTGAATAAATTGACAATAAATCGAAGTAAATCAGATGGAATTGTTGAAAATAATGATAAAAAACATTAAATTAAGTCCATATACTAAATTGTATGAATATGTCTTATCTCATCTTGATCATATTTGTTATCGTTTATATGGATCTCAATCAAATAAATTTGAAAGAATCATTTGGAATTTATTTGAAAATTATACTCAATTATTATTTTGTTCACGATTAATTCAAGTATATAAATCCGAGTGCCTAGTTCGAAATTAAAAACAGTTCGAAGTGTTTTTATTCGTTCAATTAACAAATATAATTTTGTTGAAAATGAGATTTATATTCAATTAAAGATATTTATTCTTTTTTTTTTCAAGATAAAAATTCATGTTTAACACCATCAAAGGATATATAATTGGTGATATAACTAGTTTTTATAAAGAAATATTTCCAAACATTCCGAATATAGATAAAAATTTAAAAGAAAATCAATTAATTGATCTTCCTTATAGTAATAAAATATTTGAAAATATTAAATAAGGACATGTTAACGTAAATATATCTTCAATTAATTATTCATTAAATAAAATTCAAACAAATTCCACATCGAATGTTTTATCATCATCGATTCAAGTAGGTAACCTTTTGTTCTTTTCTTTGTTTTTTTTCTTTTATTATTAATTATTTATTGTCAATTGTATAATTAAATATTTATTTAATATTATTTCTAATAAATATTGATCATGATAACTATATATTAATTATTATATTCAACAATAACAAATATATATATACAAGTTATTTAATCGACAATGAATTAAAATATAGACGATATATCGATCCTTAACAAGATTAATTCATTAAAAAACTCTAGTCAAATAAATCAAATCTTAGTTGAATTAATCGAAATTGAATTTATTTATTAGACTCTTCTCTTTTATATAATACAAAAACAAATAAGAATATTTGTCTACAATTAAATAAATACATAAGAACTATTTTTATATTTCGATCAATTTTATTTAACTTAATTGAATAATAAAATTTATTTATTTATTCAAACATTTTTTTTCTCTCATATTATGTAAATATATGAAATAAATAAATATTTAGTAAAATAGTTGTTAGTTGACGTATTCAAATAAACAACTAATTAACATATTAAATAAATTAATAAAATAATAATATTATTTATAAAATTCATTAAATCTAATTGAATTGAAATTATATAAATCATATTGAAATTCTTTTCTTTTTTTTTTTAAATAAATAAATTCTAAGTGCAAATAATATAGTACGAACGACTCGAACTTGAACTGAAGATGATAAATTTTTAACAACTATTGCAACAATATCAAAAATAAATAATTCAAATGAGAATCAAGATAATATTCTTATTAACAGAAATGAAAAAAATCTCTTTTTTGGTCAATTAACAAATAATTCTATTAAACGAACATTTTCCGATGATTCAAATTCAAATTGTTTAACAAAAAAAGTTTTACAAATTGAAAAAAGATCGACAAAAAATTGAAGAATATTGACTTTTTCTTTATTTTTTTGATTATTTTATATTTGACATTTATTAACAAATAAATATAAGAAAAAAAGAACAGTTTGCTAATTTAATATGTATGGATGGATTGTTTCAACATGAATAAGAACTTCAATCTATGGTCTATCCTAGGAAAAAAAAAACAGCTGATTTAGTTGAAGAGTAGCAAGAGGAGATCAAGGAAATGTTATTTGCCGTTTTATTCATACATATTTTGTACCTTTATTACCATCTATACATTGTCCACATGTTGGTTCAACTGGAGGAAAAGCACGTACTGATAAAACAATCGACTTTTATTATAATCAACCAAATTTTCTGGCTTGTGGTCATAAACAATAATAATAAAATAAAATCATGTTCTATTTTTTTTCAACTTAAAATTTAAATAATAAATTGAAATCATTCATAAATAATTTCGCGAAAAATAAGATCTAAAACTGATTTGGTAATTCGACTTGATAACTGTGCTTCTCTATTAACTTAACATTCAAATAACTGTTAATATATATGTATCTCTTTAAAATAACAAAAATACCCGAATCTTGAAATGTGAGGATGCTATTTGAATCTAATTTCAATATATTTATTTGTCAGTTGATCAAAATTTTCTACAAAGTGCCTGTTGAGAAATAACTATGTGGAAAATAAATGTCATAAATTCAAAAAGACTTAGATCATTATATAATCATAGAAATCACAATAGTATAAGCAATGGTCATATCATGATACAAAATAAATGAAAGTTTCAATCATCTTTAAGAAAGTATAGTTGACAGTAGTGTCTTATTAGTTTCTGTAATTTCTTTGCTTTTTCATTGTTCTGTCATGTTGTCTATGTGAATTGAAAAGAAGATTTTTATAAATACTTTGACTTATTTTTGTTTCATTGAATGTTTTATCTTTTTTGCTGAAAGTTTAAAAAGAGTTTGTTGAAGTAAAACTTTCTAACAATAAAGAAAAAATGTGGTTTTTTATGGAAGTGAAGAAGTTACCATAACTAAGTTCGACCTTGCTTGAAAATCTTATCAGATAGTTTATCTATTTGTAATTCAAAAAAACAATCTTAACAAGATATATCTTCAATTTTACACAAAGAATTTGTTCTCTGAGACTTTACGAACGAGTTACGTTGCATTCTTATTTCAATTCTCACTACATGAAATAGTGAAGTGAATAAAAAATCATATTGTAGAGTGTGTTTTACTGTATCTTTTCATCATAAAGACAAATTTTACAAGTATTTATTTCACAAAGAAAATTTTAATATTCAAATAATGTGTACATGTTCTTTATTGTGTTTTCTGGATGTTTTTGTTTTTATGTTAACAAGTAAAAAGCTTCTCGTGAATTTTCAGCTACAATACTGAGTTTTAATGAGTAGTTTCGTCAAGAATAGAAAACAAGTTATAAGCATAGTTTCTTCTTTTTGCATTACAAGAATTCTTGATAGAATAATGTGAACAAATCTTTTTATGAAGTCGGTGCTAGTAGCATATCTAGAAATACGAATGATAACAAGAAAGACAAATACAACGATCAATAACAACAGCAACTAAAAATTGATACAGAAACCGTTTCGAATTATTTCGGAGCAAAACTTTTATCGTTGACCCATTGAAAAAGATCCCTAAATATGATTCACCATCAAGTGATGATAGTACAACATCAACAATTTATTAATATGAATTGAAGATTCTTATTTAAAATAAATATGTTCTAAAAACTCTGAATATCAGTCCTTAAAATTAGAATAACCATTATGAAAACAGTAATCTATTTCTTTGGAACTATCATCTATACATGATAAATCATGACAAATAATAACTATCAATTCAACATCAATATCTTTATCATAAAGACTATTATTATCAATCAAGTGATATTTCGAAAAGAATTCATGTATGAAAACAAATATATGTTCCAAAATATTTTACAATAAAGCTCGTTTAGGATAATTAATTGATGTAGAGCTTCATTAAAAACTCAAACATGTACATGTCTTGTAACGCGATTTAACATCAGATGTACAATATCTTGAGGATGTGACTTATAAAATGACAAAAAAAATGTCATTTGTGATGAATAAACCATACGTATTCTTTAATGTTGTTTGAAATTCATTGCTTTTAATTCATGAAAATAACATGATGAGAAGGATACAAAAAGAAAGATCTTGAATTCTATAAAAACGATTCAAATCGTACAAAACTAATGAAAGTAATGAAGAAATCTTAGTCTTCGAAAATAATCATCATTATACAATGAAAATGATGTCAAAGTAAAGAATGAAATTTCCTA